GGTAGTTTTCTACTCTTCGTCGGTCTCTTTTTTTTGTGGATTGGAGTTACAGCAGCAACCTCAAATTGTCGGAAATCTTACGGACTCTCTTTTTGCTCTTAATCAATTTGTGTAGAATTTCGCATATTTTACGGGACGTCTTTTGGAAGAAGGCAGGTGGAAAACCGTTTGGACCACGACCTTTTTTAACATCTTGCGAGGATGAGGTGAATTATCGTTTTAGAGATGTTTAAATTTGTTAATGTTGGATTTCCAGCTTCCACTTTTTTTATACTGGATGTCTTTTTTGGAGTGAACGCTGAATGGAAGAACTCGTTCAGCATATCGACCTGTTTGTTGAAAATGGTACACTGAGGTTGACCCTAATCAGAATTGATCATAGACTGGATCAGAATTTCTGAAGTGAAACAGTTTGTTATGGTAGATTTCCCTGCCTTGTTCCGACGATTCTGTATCTAAATTTTCCAGTTTTGTTACTTGTTGTTTTCTATAGTTAGTCAGCTTTTCTATGAATCGAATTCTCTGTGTGTTCAGTTTCTTTATTAAATTTGATGTGAAGTTAGATATCCAAGGAGGAAGACGTTGTCTGTGCCTTGTTCTTCTTGGAACATTCATCTCAATTGCTTTGTCGAGATGCTGGTGTAGCTCATTATACTTTTTGTTGATATTAGTGTAACAGATATGCTCGAACGGAGTTTTCAGTAGGTAATCATTCAATCCATCTGCTTTTACGAAGCTTCTGAAATTTTGCAACACTGGCTGGCATTCGGTCACCGGGCACTCTAACGACAGATGAGAAGCTTCGTGAAAAGTGCAATCATAAATTTTTGTAAAGTTTTCGTCCTTTTCCGCAGTTAGAAAGCAGTTACGAAAGAAAGCTAGATCCAGAGTGCTCTGAGAGTAAGCCGCCGGGTAATCAATGGCTTGACTGAAGAGCTCAACTTCAAACCACTCAATTATCAAAACTTCATCCTCATTTGTGCTTTCTGATGCTTTCCAATTTGCCTCAGGAAAATTTAGATCAACACAGATCAGGGCAGGTTTTTATTTGGGATTGCTTTTCACAAGTTTCTGGAAGTCATTGATAGTGTAACGGTATTTACCATCTTCTGGTGGATTATAAAAGGCGAACATGATAAATTCTGAATCGTTTAGATTAATTTTACTTGAGACGCATGAATCTGGAAAAATCTAAATTAATTTTCCTGATATAATAGTATTTTTGATAGCCATTAGGCTTCCTCCTTGTGATTTTTTTGTCCAACATTTCTCTTTCATTTCTGTAGATGTCATACTTATTTAGCAGAAGTTTTGATTCATCAATGTTTTTATTTAGCCAAGTTTGACATTAACATATAACGTTATAATCGGAGGCAATTACTGCATTTGCGAAATTCCTTCTTCTTTCAATGTTAACGAGGCTTCTTGTGTTCAGCTGCAAGATGTTCAAGAAACCTAGTCAAGATAACAACTCTATTAGCAAATTCAACTTTCACCCCATCGTTAAACACCTCCAAGTTCCTTATCTTGAGCTTTCATCCAGAATCTCCCTTCTTCTTTTCAGGATTTTTAATTTCTTTGATAGCATCTTCATTTGATAAAGCAGGCACGATGTACACTCGTTCAAAAACTTTCGCAAGCGTAAGTCTTGCTTCATGTTCGCTGGAAACCGTTACTAGTGGCGTTTAGGTTTTTCCTTTCTGCGTTAAGCTTTCGTAGGAGTTTGAACTTTAGCACTTTTGGTGTTACTACGATTTGGCTCAGTGTTTCAGTTACTTCATCGATTGTAGGGACCAGAGTTTCTCCTTTGGTTTTGGTAGGATCCCCTGTAATCTGAAACTTTGACCGATGTGTGATTTATTCTGTAATCTGCTTAATGTTCTACTTTCCCTTGCATTCTCCCCGTGAATTTTTCTGGGGCGACTACGGCAGCGGACCTTCGTTCAACTTTTTTGTTTGTTGTCTTCGTAGTATTTTCGATTTTTGGTTTAACTAAATTAGTGAGTCTCGTCTCCATGTTTTTCATTTTACCACCAACGTCAACCATCTCGATCATTTCGTTGGCATTCGCAATGGTTCAGCAACCGTACATGAGCCGTTCATTGTTGTTTATTGTTTTCCACAAAAGCATTGCGTAGCAGCATTGCATTTAATCCTATTTCCTTCGTTCCATTCATAGCAGTAGTTGACAGAGCAGTACTTTCAGGAGTCATGTTCATTTGTGATTTACACGAGACACAGGAAAAGGCCTTCTCATTTGTAAGGATACCTTCTTTACACGTTTTACAGTTCCTTACCATGATTAAGAATTATCAATTTCATTTTTCTTCAGGGCCAAGGAACTAAATCATTAGGTTCGTCACAAAAATGAGAATTTAACAACAAACTCACTTATTTTCTTCTCTTCGCTTATTTTTTTTCTTTTTTCTGTGGAGACGGACTTTGCTTCTTTCTGATTTTCCTTTTAAGTCGTTACCATGTTTCCTTACGATAGTCAGGGTCTTTATTTCCAGATAAGGATCTAGATGGAGATTGCTGTAGCTTCTCACAGTTTTCTTTTCCTCTTGTTCTTTTCCTTTTTGAGATCAGCTTGTTCACAAAATGCAAAACTGGGATCCCTGTCGCTTTTAACTGCTTGTATACGTCAATTGCTCCCCTCCTGACACAAAAAACAATTCCCATATCCCTATCTAATTTCAGGATCTCTGCTACCAGTTTCTTTGCAGTAAGTGATGTTCTGGGGGGGGGGGGGGGGTCTGTGGGGGAGTGAGTTATGGAGTTGTTCACAATATCATGCCGCAAGATTAGTTTTACTGATTCAGGGATAAGCGTTGCTCGATTTTGGACAATTTTGCTTTTGTCTTTCGTGTTGGGGTGAAGATTGTAACCAGGCTTCGTGATAACGTGTTTGGATAGACGAAAACGTTCTTTGATGTTTCTTCTTTTCTCGAGGGAATGATGTAGAGAGCTTGCTCCAATCAGAATAGCCATTTAATAATCGCCATCACGACTGCCCTTTAAATTCTTTCAACCTGAAATTATTTAACTATGCTAGGATGAGCGAAAACGTTTGAATTTACTTTTCAAAATTCCTAACAAAATACACTCATGTAAGAAAATTCAGAAACTCGCGACATCTAGACCACAACTCTGAAATTAGTTCCAGTAATGCATTATGTCATTTGAATAAGATTCAAGACCTTTAATACTCACGGAGTTTTTGTAATACTGAAGTTATTGGACCATCAGGTCGATTGATTGTGAAACCTCACCAATCGATCAGGATAATGTTTACTTGAACTTGAAACTCTTCTCTCTGACTTCCAGCGACAAATCTTGGATTTAACTGTCAGGAACACAGACAACTCTACTCAAGCTATTTATGCAGGAAAGTTGCGAATAGCATTTGGACTCAAGATCGGGTTTTCAAGAATATTTCTAGCGATTGTCTATCCGACTGCTCTGAGTTTTGACTTCTAATTTTCAATTAACGCGCGAAAACTGAGAATGAAAAAAAAGCTCAATCCGATTCAAAAACCAGATTGTTTGCGGTATTTGGCGTTGGCTACCACTCGTTGCAGCTATTTTCTTCTTTTTCTTTTCGTCTATTTCTTCCATAAACTTTATTAAAGTTTCAATCTTCCCCCACCATGAAAAGGACAATCGTCAATATTGTTTTCAAATTATACGTTTAGCCGTTATTTTTGTTTAGATTATTCAACGGTTTTTGCGCATCAACTAGTTTCTCTCGTTCGTCTGTTGGTCCAACTATTATAGTCAGGTGGTTGGAAAATAGAAAGGTGGTTGGAGACAGTTCCCATCGTATACAGTTAATCTATTATCTATGTTATAATTTGGTAACTAAATTGCATAAGTTAAGAGTTTCGCAAAAGTTAAAAGGTGGTTGATTCAGTTGAGATGTTTTTACAGATCTACCCTTGTGTCAAATTGGTTTATCAGATGAAAGTTTTATTAACATACAGTAGTTATTTCAACTTCTCAAAAAAAATCTTCCCATTACAGCTCCCCACCCAGCGTACTAACTAAAAAAAATTTCCCTCTCCCGTTGAATTTACTGTGATTGAGGCTGTAAAGGCATTTGCACAAATTGATCAAAAATGATGGGGCATGTGTCTCTCAAAGATGAAACTAGAATTTCCGGAATAGTTAATTGCCGGAGCCGGATATCATATGCATCATAAAAATTGTCCAACGTTTGTTGGCAAACATATCGTTACGAGCAACTGTACAATCCACATATTGTGCATGCAGGCTGACTGATTTGGACTGTATTTTGCTTTTGTTGTTTTTGAATATTTGTCATGGTTGAATATGGGTTTTTAAAAACTCGGGATTTTCATCCGGATTCTCAAATCTGATAAAGAAATTTAACACCATGCAGGATGAAAATAGATCCAAGACTTAATCAAGCTTGAAAACTTAATAAGTGGAAACTCAAACTAATCTAAAATTATCTCTGCAAAATTATCAATACATTCACAAAAAAACTGTTCAAGGAAGGCGTCCCTTCGGAAATCTACCGTGAGCAAGAAGTTTAAATACCCGGTCTCGCTAAGGCTGAGCTATCCAATCACTACTTTCAATCCGTCTTCTCAAAAAAACGCCCGCAAAACCCATATTAACCATCAAAGGGAGCCAAAGTTGATTCCGATTTCTGGATCTGTGCCTGTCAGTTGACCAACCTCTTCAACGACTACTCAGAGAAGACCTAAACTTCCATTGAAAAACTTTTATATCAATATCAATAAAAGGGTTTTACCAAACCCCTGTACTCAATGCACAATATCATTTTTCCTTATTATCATTGTTATTACTATTACAAACCTGATTTTCTGTAGGGTTACGTATATCAATCTAGTAACCATCTATTTTTCAAGTTTTCCTCAGAAGTCTTGAATTTTTTTGAAGCATAGCCTTAATAGAACGTATTTTTTTTTTGTTTTCTAGGAAACAACTGCCTCGAATTGTCGTTTCAGAGCTTTATGAGTATAATATCTGCGATCAATGTAGCATAACACAGAAAAGCAGAGATGACGTCTAGAGACCCGGAAAAGGGTGTGGCTACAGAGGATGTTTTTCCAGTCTCAGTGGAAGCCTTATGTGACCTTATGAAGGATAGAAATGCAGAAAGCTTGTCGAAAATAACCGATACCTATGGCGGAGCAATTGGACTAGCAAGGTCTCTTGGCGTCGATGCTTCAAAAGGTTAACTTCATTAAGATTGTTTTTCATGATTTTTCGAAAAATCTCTGAGATGGATTTCTTTTCTTGTAAAATTGCATTATACAAACCTTGCTTTTCTTGACAAATCTTTGATCAGGTTCTGGAAAAAAGTTCATCTAAAGCGGGTAAACGAAGCGCATCTGTGTGCCTTCGAAAAAAAACAATGGAGACGAGGTCCATTCACAAAGCAATCGTTTTCAGTTTTCCAATAGCTGGGATGTTTTTTAAGGTCTATGTACTTCTGATAGTGAAGACATAGCGAAACGCGAGCGACAATTTGGTGGCAACGTCATTCCTCCGAAGAAACCCAAATCCTTTCTGCAGCTGTGCTGGGAGGCCTGCCAAGACCTTACCCTAATCATCCTCATCTGCGCTTCCATCTTCTCCCTTGTGCTAGCTCTTGTCGTACCACACGACCCAGATGAGCAGGGTGAGTACGTATAGTATAGTAATGTCCAATTGTTGGCAATATTGGTGGTCTTGAGCAGTTTCATTGGTCAAAAACTACTGCGTTTTATGTTAATAAGTTTTTTTTAGACACGGGTTTTGCGAGTCGAAATCAGCGACCTCGAAAAGAACAGTTTTAGCTTGAATAAATTCATTCAGATTAAAATTTTTGGACTGAAGGATTGTTTAAAACAGAAGGTTAGACAAATGATTTCAGTCATCTGAAGCATCAATTTACCTGCCATTTTTTTCAAGATTTAAATAGCTTTTTATATGTTAATGAGCGAATTGAATTTCTAATTTTTTAGTTCGTGTTTTGTTCGTTCATGTTCCGATCACTTCATTTATTTTCAACCAATTGACAATCCTCTCACCAAATAAAACTTAAACAAGGAAAAAGTAAATCAAAAGTTTTTGATTTTCTCATGTTTTATTTATATCTACTTATTAAATTCGCGTGGAACTTTCTGGGCTACTTGCACCTAATTGGCTGTTCTTGTTTCGTTTTTCTCCAAAAAATATGAATTTTCTTTCGCTCAAGTTCATATTTTGGTAGACTGACTTCGACTTTTTCATCATATCTTTGGCTTTTGATCTATTAATCCCTTAATAAGTGTTTTTCCGATAATTTCGCAATCAAAAATATTTTAAAAGTTTTTTTTTTGATTTTTCAGCTTCGTTGTTTTTAATTTATTATTTGCCGGCTTAGTTTCAGCTTTTCACAAGCTTTTTCAGTGTGTAATTCGGCTGTTATGCTATTTTTTTTCAATAGTATAACAAGGTCTAATTATTTACTTTTTTTCAAAGGAAATTACAGTTCACCGTTTCCTGGTTTTTATACACCTAAACTTTCGGTTAGAAAAAAGTTAAGTAAGTTTTTTTACAATAAATTTTCGTGCCTCGTGTATTTTAGGCTTGGCCAATTTCCGTGTCAAAATTTTTTTAAATCATAAATACTCAGGAAATGTTTTTTAAATATCCTTCCTTTTCGATATTTGCGTTTTTTGTTGGTTGTAATTTTTCCATCTCGATTTATTAGATTTTTTTCCTTTTAGGCTTAATAGGTTTCGGCCGATTTTATATCGGGTTAGTTGTCTCATATTGAGCCGTTTGATAGAAAATTTTTTCTCTGTGCGTGTCTGTGTTTTGAGAAGCTTTTGTTAGTTTCAATTAAGTTCAGATTTTTTATTGTTTTTTTTTCTTGCTTGAAAGGTTTCGGCCTTTTTCAATATTGCATTAGTGGCATCGGGTTGCACCTGCTGATGATAAATATGTTTTGTGAGTGTTTTGGGGGAGAAGGTAAGTTCAAACTTTGTATTAGGTTCAAATTTTTTTGAAACTTTTTTCAGCTTGAAAGGTTTTTGCTCAGAATTTTTGGTTTCGTTAATGTTTGATAAGTTTTCTTCCAATGCTTTTTTCTTCCAATGTTTTCTTCCAATGATAACTTTTCATCGCATTCTTCTGTCTGGGCATGTTTTTTTTTCAGAAAAATCTTCATACATTTTGATATATCTTCTTGCATGTATAATTATAGAATTTCGATATTTTCATTTTTTGGCGGATGGTTTTTCGGCTTTATTGTTGTCAATTAAGCTATCGGTTTAGTTTTCGAAGTGTATATAACACCTTGCCTTCAAGACATAAATGGAGCTCATGGATAATATATGGATAGTACATGGTTTTTTATCAGTTTTTTGCCGAAACATTTCGTTTAATTTCAGCTTGTTGGCTGCCGGCTTTAATTCCGTCGGATTTGTTTTTACCATATAGCTTGTTTCCTACAATTTACGGTATTATTTATGAAATCGATAAGACCCTGGTGCCTAATTTATGAATGAGCAAGTTCAACACCATTGGGACATCTTAAAAATACTTAGTTTTTCGTGATCATTTGTTTCAAATGTAACATAGTTGGAAGTAATTTTTGCTGGTTGTTGAGCTTCATGCTGTTTTAACCCTGTATTTATTGTATCGCCAGTGGTGAAAAGCTCAGCTTCGCCTCTGTGTTTCATTGTGATTTCAGTTTTTAGCAAGTTTTCCTGTAAGTGATGTAGGTTATTTGGTTGAATAATGTTAAGTTTCGAAATAATTAAGGCTTATTTTTAAGTTTTTTTTTTAAACCCGAACCTTCTTTGTTTTCGATTTTTTTTCTAATTGATTTCTATAAAAATTGCAATTGGATTTTTCTTCAACAGAATTTAATAATTTTTCCATTTTTTGTTTGAGAACATCATCTTTTGTACGTCACCATTCTTTTTTATCGCAAATGGTGCGAAGCTCATTTTCGTCTGTATTAAAGCTTAGCTTTTAAAATGGATGATTGCGCTACGATAATGCTTCAAACTGGAACCTAGACTGTGACAAAGCGTAATGCTTCGATTTTTTTCTTTTCTGATTGCCATTTCAAAAATTGATTTTAATATACATTGAGCTGACAACCGGTCTCGGCTATTCCTCACAAAATTTCGCTCTTCTCTCCTTGATGTACATCACTCCCTTTGAAAACCGGAACTCACAATTTGAACTAACTCAAATGCCATGTGGTTTGTTATTGTTGTGCGTTGGTCTATTTTCTTTCCGTTTTGCTATCTTTCGGTTTCGCCAGATGCCAACGCGTTCATTTCGGTTTTAGCCCACAAATTTCTCCTTTTGTTTTTTTTTCAGTCGCCGTCAAATCCTTACGGGTAATTTTTGGTTGCCTTCATGTTGTTCATGCTGCCCGAACTGTAGATCTGATTACACTAGCCAGTGCCTCCACTTTTTTCCAATCTAACTCGCAAATTTACGTGCTAATATAGTGCGACTTCTGCTATAATATATTATCTGCTTTACTTGTGGCTAGTGTTTACCTATCGTTAAGCAACCGTGGCACAGATGGAAAGGCCGTGAGTTTACTAATCTACTAGTCGAAGTTTCTACGCCGCACTTAGCGTTAGTCATTTATCCTTGGGGGCGTTTTTGCTGCTTAGCATTGGCAATTTATTTGCAGCTATAGCTGCATCATTGTTGGCGAAGGATAGCAATCTTTCAAGGGCACTTGGAGCAGATGTAAGAAGGCGAGACTCCAACTTTTGAGGTCGCAGGTTCGATTCCGACACATAGCAAACGTTTTGCTCTTTAGAGACCTAATTCTACTTTTTCTTAATTCACTACTCGCTAGCATTTGCGAAGCGCAGCTTTGCCTCTGTGTTAAGTTAGCCATTATATTTATCAGTCTAAAGCGAGTCATGAACTAGACGCGTGGCTCTTGCTCTGTCAGCAATTTTTTTGAGTTTATGAATATTCTCGAAAACTATCCTGCCATACCTGAGATTTTGGGTTCAATTCTCAAGACGATTTTCAGGAAGCTCATTTGCTTATGCGAGTACGCGCAAATTTTTGATGTTGTGACGTTTTTTTCTCGAAAGTTTCGACTTTTCTCGAAAATTCCTCCCAAATCTGAGATATTGGATTCAGTGGAAATTGCAGGTTGCTTGAATGCCTGCTGCATGGCGTTTCTGCATAATTTTCTTACACAAAAAGCTTTGATTCTCGGAATTGTCAAATTTTTGGTTAGACCGTGTTATTGGACTTTTCTCGCTAACTATCCTGCCAAATCTGATAGTATATGTTTCATCGAATGATCAGGTTTTAAAAAGCTTGATAATCTTTCCTATAGAAGCGGCGACTCTTTAATTTTTTGCAAGAAAATGTTATATCCTTGGGAAAATTGATTATCTAAAAATTAGTAGAGAAACAACCAAGGTTTTGGGCTAAGTTAAATTTTTGAAATCACATTTTTCGAGCCGCATGAGGATAGCAATTTCATTCGATATCAAGCACGTACCTCAAGCTTTAGCTTGGCCCCTAGTTGTTTTTTTTATCGAGACATCCGAAAGTTTTGGCTCACCAAGTTTTTTTCAACATTTAAATTTTTTCAAATTTTTTTGTTGTATTGCAAGTGGTGCGAAGCTAAGCTTCGCCTTTTTGTAACTCTTTTTTTGACTGCTTTGAGTTTGTCAAATAATTTTTTATTAAAATTTTTTTCAGAGAATTGATTGATGATGCCATCCGTAGAAAAAGTTTATTTATGTGAAAAATAGCAATTGTGGAACTTTTTCGTCATTTTTTAAGCCTGAAAACTGTTTTTTTTATTGCCAGTCGTGCAGAAGTGTGCTCTGACTCTGTTTTGTTAATCATCCATGGTCAAAGTGTATGTGTTTCAGATGCTTTTTTTTAGTTCAGAAGTCTTAATGTCGACGCTCAAATTTGATTTTTCTTTTGCGGTTTGTTCTGATTTCTATTTCAGTGTAAGTGAAATCATTTACTAATTGGAAACAAGACTGCTCGTATATCAGGGCAAAGCCCTGAATGTTCCGACTGTCCCTTAATTCTTATCGAATAGTTTTTGGGAAAAAATAGTGAAACCCTATAAGTTTTGAACAATATCAGTGTGAAATGTTGAGTCTTACAAAATTAATTAGACCGATCTGATTAGCTAGCCTCAATTCAATTTGGAACGATGTTGTTGTGCGGGATAATTCGCCACGCATAATTAATTCGCGTTATGCTCTAAGCAATATGAATAAATTCTTCAAAATGCGCATAATTTAGTCCAGAACATGGCCAATTTGGCAATTTTCGAACCCCCAGAACTTTACAAAAAAATCATCGGAGGTAAAATATCTTTTTACCGTTGAACTCAGTAAGACATCTTCAAAAGTATTTCAAAATCAGATATCTTCAAGGGAGTATAGAAAAATTTGTCGAAAACAATTATTTCGATCGGCTAAAATTGACTGAATAAAAGAAACCACACCGAGCATAAATTTTCCGTTTTCTTCTAAAGTCGGAACAATTATATTACGGTTTGCCTTGCAATAGACAAAATTCATTAATATAGAATGGCTTTCAATTTCGAAAGCTGATTTTAGGTTCTAGATTTTCTAGCGGAAAATTTGAGTTTTGATCAGTTTTCTAATCAGTTTTCAATAGTGCCAATCA